GAACAATTTCCTGTCACTTTCCCTTCTAAAGCAATTATTGATGTTTGCCTTATGGCTGAACCGGGCAGAGCGCTCTCTAAGCAGGAGCTTGTCTGATTCGATGCTTTGTGGGCTCATATTCAGAAAGCCATTTGGCCTGCAAAGTTGCTGGATTATCTGTAAACACAGTGAAAGGAGACAGTGATTGCACGAAGCAGAGGGAGTGCACCTGAATGCCAATAAGGCCAATGTCATGACAGGAACACAAAGCCAGCATTCCATGTGACCTTTTAGATAGAAACCAATTTACTTTGGTACCATCTCAAACAGAAAATTATGGTGTAATTCCTCATGTCAATACATAATTTATTTTGTAATAAATAACTACCCGCATATTTATGGTGTGCCTCTCCCCGCTGTTTACGATGCTCCCAGCCTCTCCCTCAGACGCCCGCTGCTGCAGAATCACAGCAGAGCTTGCTGTGTTTAAGGCTGCTGCTCTCTTCCCTAAGCTCGGTGATGGCCGAGGAAAACATTATGAGATTAAAAGCTACTCTCTATCTCTGCAAAGAAGCCCAAGTTATTTATTTTCTTATTTTCAAATTACCTATCAGGCTGAAGGATTCATGAGACCGAGTCTGAGAAAGAAACCAAAGAAATGCCGAATTAAGCCCAGGCCACACTTTCTAATAAAGGAAGGCTGCGGTGCTTAGAGAGACATTACCATCCGACAGTGAGTCAACAAGGGGAAACTCTGCCTTGCAGGGTCGGCACCCCCTTGCATACATCTGCCTCTCTGGGTGGCGATCTAGGGGCAAGGGCGGCTTCCCCGAACCGCCTGCACTCTGTCTTTAGGACACAAAGAAGGCGAGCCTGGAGCAGCAGCTCTGCCCTTTCCCCTCAGGTTAGCACTCTGAAGCTCCCCGAAGCTGGCATTGACGAGACTCTCTTCCCAGCTGACAGCTGGTCGCTGACCTCTCTGAGAGCAGCTGGGGGTCTTCCCTGAGCCTTGAGCCATAGGTGACCTCGGCACTGACCGAGCCATCACAGCGAGCAGTTAGCGCTCTGGGTCCATGGCCTCTGTCAAGGACGAGCCAGCTGGAGCTCGCACTGGAGGTGGAGCACACAGCACAGAGTGAGGAGCAGGCCGGCCAAGCACATGCCTCTCTGCAGCTCACAGAGAGAATCACAGGCTTGAATAATCGAGGAAGTGTGGGAACCTGGGTGGCTATGGCCCCGCATCTTTAAAAGGTTTCAGAGAAATGGAAAATGAGGCTGGAAAATAAAGAATGTACTGCTTCGTGAAAGCCGACTATATTTGTAATTTTTGGCTTTGAAATATCTGTTTTGAGACCAATTTGGTGTTAATGATTATAAACATTTGTTTATAATGTGATCCCTGGCTAACTTCAGCTGTTTTAAGAAATGGCAAAGTTAATATGACACACACCATAATCTATCCTTTGGAAATTAGTCACTGTGCCACACAGAGGGAGCACACACACATACACACACACACACACACACACACACACACACACACACACACACACCAAACCAAACACATTTCTTTGGCTTCACAGATGAAATGGCAGCTCTCGATGTGGAGGAAATAAGGGCTCCGATTCAAATATAACATATTGAGAAGCAAAAATCAATACCCGGAGAGGGTTTTACATGGCACTCGTATTATTTTTAATGAGTTGCTGTATAGAACTAGACAACAGAATGGAGCCAGGATTCTCCTAGGGCTAATTGGCTTTCTTCCTCCATCATACCCACCGAGTAGTTTCTGTTCTGTGCAGAAAACATATGCTGGGACCAAGATCAATGAATCAACAGAACATATTGGCCATGGAATGGGTGTTCGCAGAAAGACCTCTGATGAAAGTTCAGAGGGAATCTTCTGTGAGCACATGGCCATCTCCAGGTCGGAAATGCCTTGCTTGAGAAGACAAAGAAAATGTAGATTTCCTTGTCAGTGTGAACAAGGTCCTGAAATCGCCTTTGGGACTCTTAATTTACCTGGGGTAGGCTCAGTCTGTGTGGCTGATACATTAAGTAAGAACCTAACATTTCCTTCAAATTAAAGACACGGTCAAATTATATGAACAAAAATGCATCTATATTTTTTCTTAGAGCATTTTATAAATAATAATATTTAGGTTGAACAGATATTAACAATGTAATGTTATTGTTTAAAGGTAACAAATTTAGCATTAGCAAATGAAACAGCAGGAAATTGTTAGACACCAAAGCTCTATGTTATTTTCACACACTCACACAATGGGATGGAAGGGAAGCAGTAGGCATTCTTGTCTTTTAATATTTGAAAGATTTTTTTTAATAATTATGGCTTTTCATCATTATTAAAGTCAGAATTGGTAAAATTTGCTTATGCTAATACATGAGGATTTTAGATGATTTTATATATATAAAAGATGGTCTAGTATGATTAGTGAACACATACAAGTAAAAAAACAAGGCATAGAAAGACCAGGACTCAACATAAAGACACAAATTCACCATCCACAAAACAACAAATACCTGTATCTCCTATTTCTGATGGGAACAGGGAAATGAGTTAGCTGGGTGTCTCTGACTCTAGGTTTCTCGGGAGTGTGTGATAAACCTGAACTTTCAATCTGGGCTGCAACCTCATCTGAAGACTCAGAGGAACAAGTTAGGGTAGAAGACAAAAGGAGCAATCTACCCCAAGCTCAGCTCTGGCAAGCTCTGACTCTTCACCACATAGAGTCAGGCAGATGCTGCCACACAAAATAGCCACTGCTTCCACAAAGATCCAACCAGATGCTGCCACACAAAATAGCCACTGCTTCCACACTGATCCACCCAGATGCTGCCACACAAAATAGCCACTGCTTCCACATAGAGCCACCCAGATGCTGCCACACAAAATAACCACTGCTTCCACACTGATCCACCCAGATGCTGCCACACAAAATAGCCACTGCTTCCACACTGATCCACCCAGATGCTGCCACACTAAATAGCCACTGTTTCCACTGAGGAAACAATCTAAGAGAGAGAGAGAAGGGTTCCCCAGATGGGAGTCACTACATTTTTATAACCTAACAACATAATCAATACACTTCTGCTTTCTCTGTAGTCTTATTAGAAGCAAGTCACTAGGCCCACCCTATACTCCACAGAGGGCACAACTGACAGGTGAGAATGTGAGAAAGTGACGGTCCCTGGTGCCCATCTGAAAGGCTGCCCTCCATGGCCAGGAACATAACAAACCCAGTTCTCTTTCCACAGCCCAATGCTGAGTTGTAGTGGGTCATGTCCCAGCACTAAAGATGAGTAAACACTAGATGGGCTATTTAGAGGACTCCTTCACCTCAGAATGTCCTTTACAGCAAGACAAAGATTTACCCACTTGTGAAGGTTTAATCTGAACACCTCTGGTGGATGAGAAGTGTGTTGCACCCTCTGTATCATACACTGGAACTGGAGTCGCTGACCAGTTCAAGCATTAACTATACAAGGCAAATCATTTTGTTTCCTTAGTTGCATTCCCGCCAAATTGAGAAACAAGACTGAGCTTCTACTGTGTCTGTGCTTCTATCCGATTGAAAAGAGTCACTCTACTGTGTTGTCACCTTCAAGACTGAGGTGACACATAAGTAAATTAAGTCACTAACAACAAGGTTTGACACCTAGGCCATATAAACACCATTCTACACCAAAATATTTCTCTCTCTGGCTTGAATTTCTATATGAAGCTCTTTGTTAATAAAAGCCTTCACTAAAATGCAAGTGTGTTATCTGGAATAATAAATTAAACTATCATCCCAAATTAATATTTAACTGAATTTGTTTCTCTTGTTAACTAACATATCAGCTGGTTATTTGGATCAGGGAAGAGCAAAGAAACGAATTTTAATGAGAACTGGTTTTCTAAGAGGCTCCTAGGGTTTGAAAGGGCAGACTCTGGGGCGGCTGCACGATGGGGACTGAGGGAGCCAAGAGCCGACAAGGCAAGCTGCAAGGGCCTAAGGGATCTGTGAAGCAAACTCAGAGGAAAGAAAACTGCCCGTGTATCTAGAGGCACAGCATCCTTTTGGTGCCTCTAAGTGTTTATTTTCTTTAAATAAAATCAATATATTGTAATTAACTCACAAATAAAGCTACACAACTACATTAGAGAAACCATTCAAACCCTTACCCAGTCCCAAACCCTAACGTCAGTGAGCTTCTCCATAGCAAGGGCCATTCTAAAATCACAGAGCTTCCTTGGGGCTACCCTGTCACTATCAATCGCCTTTTATTCATGTATCCAACATATACAGAAGTGCTGTGGGATGGTCTGTATGTCAAATTGGTCTGATTGGTCAATAAATAAAACACTGATTGGCCAGTGGCTAGGCAGGAAGTATAGGCAGGACTAACAGAGAGGAGAAAAGAAAGAACAGGAAGGTGGAAGGAGTCACTGCCAGCTGCCACCATGACAAGCAGCATGTGAAGATGCCGGTAAGCCATGACAAGGTATAGATATATGGAAATGGATTAATTTAAGCTATAAGAACAGTTAGCAAGAAGTCTGCCACGGCCATACAATTTGTAAGCAATATAAGTCTCTGTGTTTACTTGGTTGGGTTTGAGCGTCTGTGGGACTGGCGGGTGACAAAGATTTGTCCTGACTGTGGGCAAGGCAGGAAAACTCTAGTTACACAGAAGACTATCACAGAGTGGAAGCTGGAAGAAAATCAGCTGGATATCTTCATTTATGACCCATGTGCCCGTTCACATTCTACCCTTTTTCGTCACCTTGTGTTATCCTCTCTAGATCTTCTTTCTATATTTTTCCTCTACTCATACTTACACCTGTTTACACACACACACACACACACACACACACACACAGAGGATCATAGATGAAGTGAATGTGAGGAGTCAATGTCTTACTTTGGGTCACCTTGCTTAATATTATACATGCATTATACTTTGTACTTCATTATTCAATTAAAATGATATCTCAATGTTATACTTCACAGACAAAACCAGTTGTGCTGGCAAAGCTGGAGATCCACCTTCAGAAGAATGAAGTTAGATCTGTATTTTTCACCTTGCATAAAAGTCTATTTGAAATGAATCAAATACCTTAATTTAAAACATGAAATGCTGAAACTGCAAGGGGAACACTCTCCAAGACATTCCAAAAAGAACTTCGAAAACACAGAAACTAAGCCTGAGTATAGCAGATGGGACCACATGAAATTAAAACAGTTCTGCACAGCAAAAGAGACTACCAGCAGAAACACAAAGAGCACACAGTGAGGGAGTAGATGTTCCCCAACTGCACTTCAGACAGTGGATACACTATCCAGAACCTACAAAGAAACTACACACCAAGAAATAAAACTGCCCATCGATAAATGAGCTAATGAAATGAATGAATACTTTTCAGGAGAAGAAATGCAAATGGAAAATAACTATTTTTAAAGTGTTCGATGTCTCTAGCTGTCTAGTCATTTGAAGAGAAATCTCTCTGATGAGGAGTGTTAGCTACACTTATCTGTGGGTATAAGGATAAGATTCAAATAAAGTAAGGAATTATGCTGGTCTAGCCAAGTGGCACCAGTAGACTCTTTCCTAAGGTCCACCATCTCACTAGCCCCAGGAAGCTGCCTACGTTTCCAGTACCAGGCATGATTTCCCTCCTGTAGAGTGGGTCCTACATCCAATTAGACAGCTGTTGGTTGCCAACAACAAGTGAGTGCCATTTCTGGTACCTTTACTTGTATCTTGCCATGCAGGTAGTTGATGTGGACTTCCTCTTACCATGCTTCCTGACTACCCTAGATGCCCATTCTCACAGCCAGTACTTGCATGCTGTCTTTACCTCTCCAGGTGCAGCCTTGGTGCATTTTCCTTGCTGCTTACACTCAATTCATAGCATCCTTTCAGCATGAACAACCATCCATTTTACACTCTAAGATAGATTCAAGAACTAACCTCTGTCCTTCCTTGCGCTTGAAGCCCCTCCTTCCCTCTTAGCCATCACACTCTTGTATTTTCTTCAGTCTGAATGAACCCAGTGTCTGTTTTGTCTACAGCCTCACCCCTGTCTCTATATGGTGCTAGAGAAAATAATAAAGCTGGACACACTGACCTCACTATAAATTTGTGAACTAAAACACAAGCAACCAATGCTGCCAACCAAACTAGCTCGGTGTCTCTGAACACTCCACACCCTCTGTGTGTGCTTAGGACTCACACAGCATCATCACATGTTCCTTCACTGAGGCTCAGTTTGAACATCTTCACCTGGGTATCCATGAACCAGCTCTGTGTTGCTGTAGTTTCCTTACTCAGTTAAACGTCATCCTTCAGCCGCTTGTTTCCTTCACGGTTCTTAATCCCAGTTAGGAACTGCGTTGCTTGTTTCTTGCACACAGGGCATTTGTCTTCCAGTGCACACTCCAAATTCCATGGAGATCTAAGGCCGGAACTGCTAGTAATTTATTAGCTTGGACATAGTATGGGTTTCAAAAACACCTGACTGACGAATACATTAGTAAGCACAGGTATGTGCAGGACTCCATGCCACTCGTTTCTTTATTCAATCAGTACTCTTTTCTGCAGAGATTTCTAATGGAAGTTCTGGCACAGACTTCGCTTCAGCAGCATAAATGGCATCAGCAGCCAACATGCCCCCCACTGTTGCCATTGGCAACAATTAAATTAGCTATATAAAACCTGAAACGAGAGAGAGCTGCAACATCCATTCAGCAAAATAACCACTCAGTCTTTCAGCAAACATAGCACCAAACTATGACTGTGCTTTTAGTAGATGAGCAAGTGCAGAGGATTGTCTTGCCCAAGAAAGGCATTGACACAGCTCCTTCCTCCTACCTCCATTGCTGCTTAAAGGAATGCCTAATCAATTGATCTCACTGTTTCTCCACCAAGGCACATCTGCTCCTGGGTAAACCCAGGGAAAATGCTGAGGAGCTGAAGAGCTACTTTCACACAAAAAGGAGTTGTGGGAGGTCTTGTTGTATGCTGTATTTCATTGTAAATAAAAGTGTAGTTGACACAGTTATCTACTGCTTAATGCCGGTAGACACTGGCAATACATTTGGAGATCCTGTGCTCACAGAAAGACTGGTTATCCAGACGGACAATGTTCTGAGTCCTTGTATCTGTGCACACTCACACTCTTTCCTAACACACTGGCAGGATGTACTCCATAGAAGCAAAAGTCCAGCATAAAAAGTGCACTGCTATGGAGTAGATCAGCTGTAGGAAATACATCAGCATCGACAGAACCCCCACAGCCACCATTGACTCCTTGCCTCATCAGATAGTCACAAAAATCCTTATGTATACATTAGCATGCCTGTATTGGCAAATTGGGAAATTGAATCTCGGGGATGTGATGACACTCAGATCATTTAGGTCACTATGCAGAATACTTTACACTGGGTAGTTTATGAGACACAACTTACCTTTCACACTTTAACTATTCCAAGATCAAAATGGCAGGAGTCTGGGCATCTAGTGGGAGCTCATTTTCTGTTTCATTGATTATGGGCATTTTCTCTTTGGTTGTTTTTGTTGTGGTTTTGTTTTGTTTCACTAGCCCATCAAGTCCAGTTTGTGCCGCCCTTGTGTTCACATGTGAGGGACCATCCACTGGAACTTGGTAGGCCTACAGGAGTCACGGTGCTCTCTTGCTGTGTTGTTTGACGGCATCTTCATGCAGTAGAAGGTGAGAATTGGTTAATTCCACCCATTAAAGCTCTCCCCTCATGACCTAATCACCTCTCCAACTCCCAACCTCCTGAAATCATCATCCTTAGGATAAGGTTTTGAAGCACAGTAAGGTAGAAAAGATGAATTATTAGATACTATTTATTGATCTATTTGGTGATTTACTTAGAGCACTGCTTGCACTGTCTGTGTGCCAAGCATGACTTCACCGGCTCCCTGAAACAGAATGACCTGCAGAAGGAGCCGAAACAAGCGCTGTTTTCTGTAAGGTCTTGCTTGCTTGTCCACCCCACCTTGCACTTTGGAAGTTTAAAATGAGAATGCAAGCTGGACCCGACACAAGCCAGGGGCTATCCTGGCTTTGGTCCTCTGATGACATCTCCTCTCTTCCATGCTCACTGGTGTCAGGGTGCTTATTCCAAAAACATTCCCCCAACAATTTCATCACATGCAAATGCGGATGCAACAATTACTCAACAAACTTCTTAATTTTACAGATCTGTAATCCAAAACCCATAGCAGAGCTAAGCAACCGAGGCAAGATAGTAAACAGCTAAATTAAAGCAATAGACATAGAAATGAAAATAGTGACCAAAGGACAGACATGAAAGAGATTTACAGGACAGTAGAAACTGGCTTATTTAAGTGGAAAAGGGTCAAAGTGGTTTCTGATTCAGGTAAGTAGACAGACTACAGCATTTCCCAACATACAGAGGAGAGAATATCTGGACAGACAGGGAAAGGGAAAAAGATGAAACATGTAGAATTAGAAGAATCTCACACAAGAAAAACTGTTAGAAGTAAATTAGTGAGTGGCATGGAGTGAGCGAGATTTGGGTTGGGGGTGGGGGGGCTGGAGAGGTGGTTCTATGGTTAAGAACATTTGCTACTCCACCAGAGGACCCAGGTTCAATTCCCAGCATCCACATGACAACTTACATCCATCTGTAACTCCAATACCCATTTCTGACCTCCTCCATTGCCATGTCCAGTATAGCCTGGTGGAAACCTGACTTGGACCAGACAAAGGCTTTACCAGGCTTCTGAGCCTTACCAAGAGGAAGGATTTGCCAATGCCCATGGGTCTGCAGCATTGGTCCCTGTTAATAATACACATTCACTATGGATTCCATCCCTCCATAGGCTCTGGACATGCACCTAGTACACAGACATGCATGCAGGCACTTTCATGCACAAGTAAAAGTAAATAAATGAAATATGTGTGTTGAGAAGCTTCTGTTAACTGGAAAATTATTGGTCTCCTTGAAGTCAGTAATTTAACTTTGAGGTGTGTCACGAAGTGTGGCGGCACAGGTGTGTGAGTTCACAGATCCATGGAAAGAAGACTCAGAGGCACCTTAAGAATGAATTTAGCCTTTCTCAGCTGCAGGGAAATCCAGCCTCTAAGGACTGAAACACTCTCCCTTTGCCCAAGGCATTTTTATTTTTCTCAATATTTACACTTTAGCAAGTTGATTTCCATATGTTCAAAACAACCTGAAAAAAGCTCCCCAGAATAAAATGCCAAGTGCAAATTCCTTGATTCATCAGGTACCACGGTTTTCCAGGTTTCCTGAACCAAGTTTTGCATAGGGCTTTTATCCTTGGGGGACTCTGAAACAAGATTCACATAGGGCGACAAGGGAAACAAAAGGAATCAGTTAAACAAAGAATGGATTAGGACGAGACGCTGCTCTCTGGAGCCAGGCTAGGAGTAGCCCAGCGTGAATGTAGCCACAGAGGTGGCAAGTAGGCAAGTAAAATACATGGGTAGGTACCATGCAGACAGACAAAACAATCTGTATGAGGTGTGTGGCTTAGATAACAACATTGTACCAAACAAGTCATTTTCTATTGTCTACTAATGGACTGTTAATAAAATTGTTTTTAAAATCTATTCCAAACTCAATTTCAATCTCAGAATTGCACAAGCTTGTAGTTCATTGGAAGATCTGCATGGCCTAACTTTTTTCTCTTTCCCAACTATGACAGTTTTTAAAGAATGCAGGTCGTTTACCTCTCTAGATTGCTCCTTATGTTAAATGTAATGAGTCTTTCTCTGCCCTACGAGTTCCCAAATAAAGACACAGAGATTTCTTACTAATTATGAAAGCTCAGCCTGTAGCTTAGGCTTGTTCCTAACTAGCTCTTATAACTTAAATCCTATTTATAATAATCTGTGTTCTGCCATGTGAGTTGTGGCTGTTACCTCTCCTCCTGCACACTTTGCTTGTTCTGCATCTCCTGACTTCTCTGCCTTTTTTTCTTTTCAGAGTCCTCTGTATCCCTGGAAGTCCTGCCTAATCTCTTCCTCTTTAGCTATTAGTCATTTAACTCTATTAAACTAATCAGAAGGTGACTTGTCAAAGACACATCTTCACAGTGTAAACAAATATTCTGAAATGGTTAAACTTATCTGAGGTTTCCTCTTAAGCAGATTGAGTTTATATACTGGTACAGAAAAATAAAACAAGAGTAAGGTACGTGCTCTGTGTGCCTTGTGTCAGAGGACACAGACACCATCTGTCCAATTGCTGTTAATGCCAACTGGGATCATTTTGTGAAGGTGGCTTTGGCCTGTGCTATAGAGTTTATACATTCTTCTTTATGTCCTGCATGAAAACTCCTAGATAATGTATCAATATGCTATTACTCATTAAAAAAAATTTTTCCACATTTTTACTTTAATGCTTTTATCAGCATATATACATCATAATGGGTTTCATTAGGACATTTTCATACATGCACATAATTTACTTCAATCATATTTGCTCCTGTTAATTTATTCCTTTTTCCAACTATCCCCCTTCTACTTCCATGTCTGTGTTTGTTTGTGTGTTTGTGTGTGTACACGTATGTGAGTGTATAAATATATGACCCAATGAGTACCATTACTACTATTTACAGGAATAAGAGAAGTGTGTTTTAAGAAACATGTGCATATTTGTGTCTACACCATTGAAGGCAATACCTCCCCTTCCCCATCAACCATTATCTGCAGATAAATCCTCAAAGAAAGTGGGCCACATAGTTCCCCAAATCCATGACAGAGTTTAACAAGCCAGGGTTTGAATTCTAGTTTTTGTATCCACATATGACCTTTATTTAAACTGCTTAGTAAGTTATCTGCTAAATTCTGATTTTCTAATTAAATTTGGCCTTCTAATGGTTAATATATAGCTTTTTCTATACTAGTTATTTTCTCACGTGTTGATTTAGATAATTTTGTACTCAGGAGTTTTTTATTTTATTCCATAGGTTAATCTTATTTTATTCTGTAGGTTAATCTCACACTTTGACTCTTAAATTGGCCCAGATTTGGCCAATAGAACCCAGATAAATGTGTGTTTTGTAAAGGATTCAGTAGAGAAAGACTGATAACAGAAGTGAGTCTGGTTTGTGCTTCTAGAGGTTGACAGTCCAAAGTCACGGGCCTGCATCTGGCTAAGACTTCATGATTCATCACAGCACAAGGTAAACATCACAGGGCAAAAAGCAGCAAGAGCAAGAAGGGGCTACACTAACTTTTACAGAAACCTCTCAGGATAACTAACCCACTCCCCAAATAACGTCACTACTCTACTCCTGAATGTGGAACATGTCCAATCACCTCTGAAAG